TTGGGGAGAGCCTGCTACAGTTCTTTGTTTGACTCCGGGACTCAGGGACGGGGAGGAGGAGGGAGGGAGGCAGAGGCTGCAAGCGCCGGGGCAGGCCCAGGAGGCAGAGGAGGGACCGTCTCCCCCCGCCCCCCCAGTCCCCACTCCCCCCCCTGCTGCTCCCCCCCTCCCTACCCGGACTCCGGGGGCACCGCCGGGGGACAGACACCCAGCAGGTAACCCCGGCCTGGCTCGCCCTCCCCTTTCGGATTTTCCTTCACACCCTCCCGGATGACCCCTTTCCCCGGTTCCGTCTCCCCATTCCCCTCGTCCTTGCCTCTTTTCCCCGGCCCTCCTTGTTCCATCTCCCCGACTTGGGCTGGTTGCCCGCTGGTCGCGCCGCCGTCTCGTGCAGCCCGACTCCCTTCCCCTCGCCCGACAGCCTGTGCGCCCCAGGTCTGCCCGCGGCACCTTTCGGGGCTCTGTCTCGCTGCTTCTCCAGGCTTTGCTTTCCTTGTGACCTGTCCCCTGGGGCTCCGAGGAAGGAGGGAGTCCCTGTCCTTTTCTCGCTCCCCCAGTTCCCCGCCCCCCAACTCTGGCCCCCTTTCTCCTTCTAGCAGTCTCTAGGGGTGTGGAGAGAACCGGAATTTGGGGGGCCCTCTGGAGGGGCAGGGGGCTGTGTGTCGCGGGGTAGAAAGGGGCTGTGAATGTGTGTGGGGTGGGGGCGGGGGCGGTTAGAGACCCGGCTGCCTGTTGTCCCTTTAAATGGCCCTCACATTTCTGGGGATTCGTGGGGGGGAGGTGGCAAGCCGCCTGCTTGGGGGGGCAGGGCCCTCTGTTCGTCCACACAATCAGGGGTGGTAATGATTTAAAGGGACAGCCTTGGTGTGGCCACTGCCACCCTGCGACAGCGGGAGGGGGAGCCGGCAGGCCATGTCTGGGGAGGCTTGCCTGGTGAGCAGGGCATTTGAGGCCGAGTCTGTTGTGGGTACGGCGAGGTCTGGGACAGTGCTGCAGCTGGGGCCTGTGAGGAGGGGTGACAGCTCGCCTGGGGGTCAGTCAGTCTGGGCCTTCTCCAGGGCCCCACCTTTAGGTTCATGGACTCCTTGGCCAAGAATCCTTGAGTCTAAACTACGGAGTCTGTCAGCCGCCAGGTGGGGGCCAAAGGCAGGTCTGCAGGTCTGCAGGTCTGCAGGTCAGCAGCCTGGACTGGGCACACTGGAGCTGGCTTTTCAGCTTCCCCTTTTGTTGTTTGGCTCTGTGCACAAGAAAGCCCCAGCCCCTCCCCCAGCTCCCCCTTCCCGTCCACATGCCCCCCCACACCCACCCCAGCTGTTGGACAGATGAATTACAGCCTCCGGCTTGGGGCCAGGGCTGGTGAGGGATTAAAGCTCTGGGGCTGGCCCTTTAAATGGCTGCTAGCCCCTCCCCCACCCTGGTATCCAGACACCCCATACACACCCCCTCTGACCCCCTTGGCTAACCCTCACTCCTCTTGGTCTGTCCAAAGGCCTGCCACTTACCTCTCTCTAGGCTAGACCCTCCCCAGCATCCCCTTCTCCCCCAACACAACCACATACACAAATGCTACAGACTTCACACACATACAAACACACACACACTCACTCACCCCCTGGTCTACATTCACACACACACACACAGTCACTCACTCACCCCCTGGTCTCATGTTCTGAGCATCCCTGTTCTGGAGGGTTCCAGCCTCAAACTCCCTTCTCCAGCAGAAGGACCTTTCTTGCCTGGCTTCCCTAGCCTGCAGCTGACCACTACCCTGGCCAGGTGAGGGGCCTTACATGGGTCAGAAATAGCACCTCCCTGGGGGCAGTGTCATCAGCAGCTGCAGCAGTTTGCAGCACATTGCATCATGGAGGCTGGGGGCTAGAGGCCTGAGTCTCTGGGGCAGGGGGAAGGATGGGGGTTGGAGGGCCAGGGTGTAAAGAGGGTAGACTGGGAACCAAAGTGTCTTGGTCTTAAGGGCAGAGAACTATGGCTAAGGGAGCAAAAAACATAGGTCCCTGAGGAGTGAGTTTGAGGTGAGGGCAGACTTAGGTTTCATCCCTCTATGGACACCTGGTTCTTGGCCCTGGACCTAGACACATAGCTTCTTGTCTCTTAGAGTTAGGAGGGAAGGCAGTGGGCCTTCTTGGGACACACAGAGGAAGGAGGTGATGGGGAAACAGGATATGGCCTTGAGGGGTGGATGGATGAGAGGCTTGCAGCAGAGGCCACTTCTAGACTCAGGCCCAGAGTCACAGTCCTTGCTGAGAAGGAAGGCTCCTCCTTGCTGGGCCCGATCATCTAGTCTGACCACCTGTGCTGCTCGCCAAGACCTGCCTACACCCGCCTGGGGGAAGGAGAGGGGGCAGAGTCCAGAGGGTGGGGTTGACTGGTGTCTTGATAAGGCTAGGGAGGAGGCAGAGCTGAAGGAAGAGGATCTATGTGCCTGAGGCCAGGACTGAAGCTGACTTGGATGCAGATGTCAGAGGAAAGGCAGTTGGGGCTACTCTGGGGCCGGGGACTCTCAGCAGGAGGGTCCAGTCAGTAGAAGGACCATGGGTTGGGTGTCCACCATGATGCTGCGTTACGCAGATGCTATAGCATGCTCCCCTCACTCTCTGGTCCAGGATGCTTCCTAAAGGGGAAGGCTGGAAGACCACTTTAAGGATAGCTTTTCCTGGTTGCCATGGAAACAGATTATCTCCCATCCCATCTGACCGCCAGAGCCAGGTTTCTCCTCAGTAAGGGAACAGGGGTCACAGAAAAATTCTCTGGCCTGGGAGACCCCCACCTCTAACTGGCTTTTTCTTTAGGTTCCCCCAGGCACCATGCCAGCCCCGTAGAACCACCCACCCCACCCACTGTGGTCTGCTCCACCCCGTTGCTGGGGCACTGGTTCCAATGAGACAGGGCATGCCAAACTCCATCTGGTAAGTCCTACCCCTCACCACTACCCCCAGCAGTCCCACTCTGCACCACATTCATGAAGGACTGGTATGATCTAGATCATGCCTACTCCTCAGAATGGTCCAGTCCAACTCAGAGCACCCCCTACCATGTGGTGCTTGGGTGGTTCAGCCTTCCTCATTTATGGAGCTCCCCTCTGTTGCCTATGAATGGTTCATCCCTGTACTTCACCAGCCTCTCTACTACCACCAAAAAATCTTTTCCCCCTAGTGCTACAACTCAGTTGCTTACTGAATTGAATTAAGCTAGGGTTTGTGAGCTGGAAAGTAGAGATGAGATACCCTGGAGAAATTTTTCTTGGCAAGTGAGAGAGATTAGCCCCTGTAAGAGTTGTTGAACAGCCTAGCTTTTATGGAAGGTGATTGGAAATTGATTTGGAGAGATACTGGAGACCATTGTCACAAAAACCTGCTGTTGCCATGGCAATCTTAGCACCCCCCCACCTTTTCTTCCAGATCCCATTTGGTTTCTTTCTCCCTCCACTGCACCACAGCACCACAGCGCTTGCCCCCTATGCCCTAAATCTTACTCCTCTTCTGCTTCCCTCTCTCTTGCTGCCAATTCTCTGCCTAAGGCCCTGCTACATTCCCCATTCTCCTGTAGGAAAGAGAACCTAAGCCAGGAACTTAAGTTCTCTGAGTGCATGTTGCTCTTCTCCACTGCTCACCAAGTTCTTGAGTGGGACTGTTCTTCTATGTATCTCTCACAATTTGGCAAGATGGTTTGCACACTGGGGTACCTCAGTGGAATTGAGCTGAATGAATATGTTGACTGAATGACCTTCAAGGCCAAGAAACCAATGGCTTCTGAGATGTGCTGCCCAGCCACCTACCCACACCTTTTCTAGAGGATGAGGGACATTTGGGATGGTAAGGTGGGGTAGACCTGAGGGGCAGACTGACTCAGAAATGTCCTGTGAGGAAAGAATCAACAGGGAATAAACAAGGGTATTATAGACAAGTGGTAAGAATGAGGCTCTGAAAAGAAGCCTAGATCTTCCTCTAGAAGAATGACATTGACCAGGTTATATAACCTCTCTGTGCCTCAATTTCCTCATCTGTAAAGTGGGGTAATAAAAGTACTTCCTAAGTCAGGTTTTGGAGAGGAGTTTACAAATGTATATAAAGTGCTTAACACAGTACCTGGCATGTAATAAGTATTCACTAAATGCTACCAATTATCATCACAATGGGAGCCACAGGGAGCTGTGAGGATAAGCAAAGATGTTGAGGAATAGGACAGAACTTAAGGTGGACAGACCCCCTAATACTTGACTCAAACAGAAGGATCACTGATCAAGTAAGATGTCAGGATTCAGGGGAGTGAGGCGAGGAATCAGCAGGGTCAGCCTGTTCCAGTGTTTCCCTGACTCTGTTCAGGAACATGAAGGCAAACACAGAAGGGCATGTGCAGAGACACACGTGATCACGCAAGTGATGCAGAGGCAGCCCCAGACAAAAGACCGAGACAGGAGCCAGGCAGACACACAGACAAGTGACAGCCCCTCGGAGTCATGTAGACTGGCATAATGACAGGAACGCGTCAGACACAGGCACTGAAGGAGACAAGATAAGAAGATATGCAGGTGCATACGGAGACAGACACCGGGACCCCACACACAGCCGACCTTGTCAGACAGACTGGTGAACACAGCGGTCCAGTCAGAGGCAGACACAAGGCCCACAGTGACACACAGCGGGCCGGGGCCAGCACTGTCACTCCTCGGTGGGGAGCGGGGAGGGGCCAGCAGCGAGGGAAGGCTAGGGAAGGGAATCCCGAGCGGGCGGCCTGCCCGGGGTGGCTGAGTCACAGCGGAGCCCCAGCCGGCAGCCCTCCCCTCCGCCTCCCCCCTCCCCCAGGTAAGCGAGCCTGTAACCCCTCGCTTCCACCAGGCAGAATGGGGCCTGGCGGGGAGCGGGATGCCGCCGGGTTCCCAGGTCGGTCCCACCTCCGTGCGCGTGCCGCATGCCTACTGACTGTCTGCCTGCTGGGGAACACCCTTTCTGCGGGGTCCTGTCTTTGGCCGGCTTGTGAGTCTGCGTGCGCACGTCTGACCCCTTACCCCGCGCGGCGGGAGCGGTGCGTGGAGGGGCTTCTCGGGCCTCAAGCCGGGAGAGAGTTAAGTGGGTGTGATTGATAGAGTGGGTCTCTCTCGGGGCTCAAGGGGGAGGGGGTCGGTTAAAGTCCCGGACTCCAGAGCCCGGATGGAGTGGGCGGAGCTGGGCTCAGCCGGGAGTGCCCGGATGGAGAGGGCGTGGCCTCGACAGGAGAGGAATTAACCCTTTCAGAGCTGCTGACTCCCAGGACCGTGGGTCCGACGGGAGAGGCTGGAATTCCTGCCCCAGAAGTATACTGTCCTTTCAGCCTGGCTTTGGCTGCGTACGTCTGTCTCTCATCTGTCTTAGAGGAGTCGGTGGGTGTCCGTCTTTGTGCCTGCCGGTGATTGTCCCTTCCCCCTGATTAGTACGGACACCAGGAATTGGGGAGGACTATTCCTGACCCAAAGCGAGAGTGGAGGTGAGAGTGGACCGCCAGCCGGCTGCCGGCGCTTGGGGAACAGGTGTGAGCCCAGTCGGGGCTGCCGGGCGCGGGGAGGGGCCGTCGTGGGGGGAAGACGAGAGGGGAAATTCCGCGGGACCGGTGGGGAGCGGTGTGTGGGCTGAGTTGTGTCTGCCTCTGTGTGTGTCTGTGTGTGTTCAGGGAGGCGGGGGCTGAGTCAGTGGGAATAGGGGAAGGTTTTCTGAGTGACTCACGCTCCCCCACCCCAAGTCTGAATCAGACCCCTAGGGAGGGCTTTGTACTGGAGGCGGATGGGGAGTCAGGCGCCTGGGTCCCGAGTGGGGATAAGGATCCGAGGTGGTTGGCGAGAGTGAGTGTGTGTTTAGTGTACAGGAAGTTTTGTCCTCAAATGAGGGCTGCTGTATTCCGAGTACTGGCGTGGGGGTTTGTGGATAGAGGTGGAAAGGGGCTGGAGGACGGGACTCGCTGGTTTAGGGAAAGCTGAGTCAGTTCCCCGTGGGAAAGGGGAAGTGGTGAGGGGAAGTGTCATCATCGCAGAAGGGGAAGCTGCATTTCCTGGTAACTGGCAGCGCTTTCGGGACCACTTCCCAAGCGGGGATCTGTCCCTCTGATGTCTGGATCCCCGGTTCCCCGGTTTCCCATGTCCATGGGTCCCGGGACTTAGGTGGGGGCAACTGGCCAGGGCTATGCTCGACTGCAGTTAAGCGCTTCTGTGCTTGTCCCAAGGCTTGGTGGCTGACGGAAAAGGCTGCCTGGTGAGGAGAGAGAGTTCAGACCGAAACTCCGCGTGAACTGCGGAGAGGGTCCGCAGAGTCCAAGAGCCTACCAGGGCTCGCCGCAGAGTGGCACTCTGGGACCTTTAGGGTCCAAGCGCTTGCGTGCGAACAGACGACCTTGCCCTGCGGAGGGAGGACTGTTTTCACCAGAAACCTGCCTGCCCTTGTGGGCTGGGTGGAAATTTCCCCACGGAGCAGACTTCTCTAGGCGAAGGCGAACTTTCCAGCCGCCCCCAGCCCCTTGTCGCGCACTCTCCCCCGGCTTCCTGCCCGGCGCTAGCTCCAGCTGGAGCGCTGGCCCCGCCCCCGCCGCTTTGTACTCTATACTCGCCTCTCGCATCTCTTTGTACTCTAGACTCTCAATGGACCGATCCCGGGAGCAGAGCCGGCTTCCTACCTGCGGGGAGGCCGGGTAGGCGAGGAGAAGGCACAGGGACCGAAATCCTGGGCCCAGAGGGGCGAAAAGGAAGAACTGGGGCCAAATGGAAGGTGCCCAGGAAGGGGAGCGCTGTTCCCCTCCTGGGTCGAGCCAGCACGGACGGGAAGGGGTGGGGGGGGCGTGAAGGAGGAAGTGAAACGGGTTCTGGGTTCTTTAAGGGAGTGGGCGGTGAGAGTGGGACAAGGGTGATGTCACCGCCTGGCGGGCCCCGCCCTTCTCCCTCCCGGAGGACCCCCCCGTACTCTTACACACGCCGCTTCCGCTGCGCAAGTAGCCACGTCACGGGCAACCCCCGAAATCCCCCCTCCCTTGGGGGGCGGGGGCCACGTGGGCCGTGGGGAACCGCGTGGCCCCGGCAGAGAAGGGCATAGAGGATACGGGAGCCACGCGAGAGGGGCCACTCGGGACCGCGGCGCGCGACTTCTCAGAAGTTGGGGAGTTTAGAGGGGGGTTTTGGTTTTGGGGGTCGATTGGTATTGAAGACCCACAGAGCCAGGGGAAGTGTTGAAGCTGAAGGAACTGGGTATGAAGCTTGGGGGCTTGACCGTGGTTTGGGAGGGGGGTCAGGCGTGGGGGGGGTAGAGCGCTCAGATCGCAACGCGGGCGGGTTTGGGTGCCGCAGAACTCGCCGTGCCTGGACAGCCCTAAGCAGTTCCTAGGGGGTGGGGAGGTCAGGCACTGGGTGAGGTGAAGTGAGGAAGGGGAGCGACTCCTGTGTCGGCGTTGTTCCTTGGTCTGCCGTTCGTCGGTCTTAGGCGGTGGGGCGGGGGGCGTCTCAGGCTGCCTAGCGGGGACCACCCGCTGTTCTGTGGGCTCGTGGGACCTGCGGGTAGCTCCATGCCCCAGGCCTGCCCGAGCGTGCTACTCGCCGCCTTCACCCGCACGGGTCCCGGTCTCCGCTTGCTTCTCCCGCCCTAGTGTCAGCTCCGAGATGGAGACCCTAGGTGGGAGACGCGGGGTCACGTCGGGGTCACCCGGGGCCGAGCCCGTCTGACCGGCTCCGCCGCCCCTCCTCCCCCGGCAGCGGCCGGACTAACCTTGCTCCTATTGGTCCCGGCCAGGCTGTTACTGAGGCGGAGACACGGGTGATGATTGGCTTTCTGGGGACGAGAGCAAGTCCTGTGAATTGGCCGGGTCTCCCGGAGCCTCACCGACGCCGGGACGACGGGACCGCGTCCCCGACGGGA